TAAAATGTTCATAAATATTAATAAAAATATATTGGTTCTGATGGCACAAGATTAGACCGTGATGAACATGTCCTCTCAGATCAGCTGATTATATAAACAAACCACTACTAGTGGCTGGTGCTGGATCAAGTGCATGTTGAAAGGTGGAGAATTGTTACATTTTAGTGTCTTTATAGTTTTACATCTAGTTGCCTAAGGAATTATTTATGTGTGAGAATTCCTCATTATTATCTTCATATAGTAGCTAAAAGAGGTGACTGGTTGGTTGGTTGGTTGAGCCCTAGCTCAGTAGCTTGGTCATCATCATAGGCTTTCATAGTCTATAGGCCCAGATTCAAGGTGAAAATTTGTGACAGTCTTGTACAGTGAGTTTCGTGAGGGCACACATTTGAAATTTTTGTACATTATTCCACTGTCTGTATCCATGTCTGTGTTTACTATATACATGTCATCCCTTTGTCTTCAGCTCAGCCTGTTATATTATACCTTGCATGCTTGAGTTTTGATTCAGTGATAAGGATAATAACTTGTCTGACTGTTTCATTTTGTGTTCTTAATTAGTATTTCTTCGTTTTAAGTCTTTTAAGCATTTGTGTACCATTCAGCATTTATGTACATGTTTACAATAGAAGATTTCAAGTGTAGATAAGATACTTATTTACAGCAGACTATTTCAAGTATGGATAGGTTACATATTGACCAGATAAATCACTATGAAGAGGAGATTTGAAAGTGGTGCAAGCAAGAGACAGTGAAAACAACTGAGTGACACAGCAGCTAAGAGCTCAAAGCCAATAACTTCATTTCTCAAATCACTGGAAAACACACCTTACCCAACAAAACAATGCTACAGATAATGAAAACTCTGCAACTGCAATAGGTGTTATTTCAATGCCAATACCTGAACATGAAGACAGTAGTCAAGAAGGAGATGTGCCAACAGTAACAGATGCAGCAGAAGATCCTGTGTATGATCAAGAAACTCAACAGCAACAGAAAGATGTAGATCTTATGCAGCAAGAGCAATTCCTGAGTACTACAGGTTTGACTATGACTGACATTGGAATTAGTGACAAGAGCAATGCTGCCCAAATGCAATCTTTTCTTCAAATTAGTTGTTTTGAAATTCCAAGTAACATTCCACAAGATGCTGATAATCATGCTTTCCCTACTCGTCTTCTGACAAAAACTCTTCCGAATAGTGAGACCTGCACAGGAGACTGGTTATGCTGGAGTACGGAAAAACAATCTCTGTACTGTGCACCCAGCTTCATTTTGAACAAAAGTGCTGCAAATGCATTAGTTCTCTCTGATCAATCGGGATGGAGCATCAGCAGAGGTTGGAGGAAGTTGAAAGGCCGAATACCATCACATGAGAGTTCAATGTCACACAAAGAAAACTATGTTGCATGGAAATCAGCCAGCAGGGCCGCAGCATCCGAAAGTTCAGTTGAGAATTTACTCTTGACTGAACTCTCTACAGAAACTAAAAACTGGAAAAAACTTCTTGAGCGCATCCTGAATGTCATCCTTTTTCTTTCTGAGCAGGGATTGGCTTTCTTTGGTTCCAGTCAAGGTATTGGTGATCATGCAAATGGAAACTTTCCAGGCATAGTTGAGCTCCTCAGCAAATATGACCCACTTTTATCAGAGCATGTTAAACGTGTTCAAGAATCGCAAGAGAGTCAAAAGCGCATGCAAGTCCATTATCTCTCCACACGCATACAAAATGAGTTTATTGAGCTATGTGTGTCATTTGTACAAACAACAATTTTGATGATATTCAAAATGCCAAGTATTTTCAATCATTGTTGATGCCACTCCAGATTGTTCTCACAAGGAACGGACGACTATGGTTATTTGATATATTAAGATTGTAGACAGCTCAACATTTTCAATTGAAGAAAGGTTTATTTTGTTTGATAATTTCACGAGAAAAACTGGAAAAGAAATTGCTGCTCGAGTACTAGCAATTCTAGAAGGTTTTAAGTTAGATTTTCAAGACTGCACTGGTCAAGCCTATCACAATGGATCTAATATGGCTGGGAAGTACAAAGGTGTACAAGCAGTTCTGCTTGAGCATACTTCAAACTGTATTTTCTCCAGCTGTAGAAACCACACACTAAACCTTGTAGGTGTTGACTGTGCTGAATCATGCAAGGAGGCAATTACTTTGGAACTGTTCAGCAAATGTACAATCTCTTCAGTAGCAGTCCACAGAGGTGGGAAATTCTGAAGCAATATCTTTCTGTTTCACTGCATGTGATGTCCAAAACTAGATGGTCTGCAAGGATTGATGGCATTCAGCGAGTTGCGCAGCATTTGAATTCAGTGAGAAAGGATTTAAATGAGCTTGAATCTCTCAATCTAACTGAACAAGCTCAAACTGAACTTCAGTCTATTCAGAAGCATATGTCCAAATTTGAATACATTCTGGTGTCATCTTTGTGAAGGAAGCTACTTACAATGATCCACTAAACTAATCTGGTAATTGAAGCACGCAATGCTGCACTTGATGTTGAGAGCGATAACATTATCAATGACATTCAACAGATTTGTGAACAATGGGATGTGATCCTGACTGAGTCCAGATTAGTAACACAGAATATTGGCATTTCATATGAGTTCTTCACCGATTGCAACTTATCTACTGAATCTGATGCCGAGCAACATTATAGGGTCAATGTCTCCCTTGTCATCATTGACTCTATTCAATGAGGTCTTACACGTTGATTTGAGCCACTGCGACTAATTTGTACCTTTTTGGGTTTCTGTGGCAGTTCAACAGACTGAGTAATGAAGATCTACTTTCTGCAGCTGAACAATTTCAACAACAATACAACAAAGAAATCTCAAAAGATCTCAGTGACGAGGTCATCTTCCTCAGACGAGTATATTCCACAAACTTTAAATTGGATTGCAAGCCAAAGGAATTGCTTCAAGAAATACTCGAACCTGGAGTCTCTGGGGTGTTTCCTAATATCACAATTGCATTGCGTATTTTTGTCAGTTTGCCTGCATCATGGCTTCAGGTGAACTCACCTTCCACGTGTTGAAGCAGGTAAAGAACTACCACCGTTCAACTATGGGACAAGAGCGTTTCAATGGGCTCGCCATGCTTAATATCAACTGTGACATTACATGAGAGCTAGATTTTTCCTCAGTAATTAGTGCATTTGCACAGACAAAGGCTAGAAAAGCATTTGTTAAATAAAAAAATGTTCAAAAATTATGTCTCTTTCTTTTTTTGGTGCCTTATTTTGTTTTCATGTGTCATCATTTTTTTATTTTTATTATGGCTAGGGGCCTCAAAAACTGGAAGTTGGCCAGGGCCTCTCTGGACCTCTGAGAGGGCCTGCCTGCCCCACACACCCCTCTCCCCACAGACCCACACACACAGACCCTGCCCCACCCCATGGACCCTGCTCCACACATCCCTCTCCCCAGAGCCCCCCACATATGGACGCTGCCCCACACACCCCTCTCCCCATAGACCCCCACACATAGCTTCTGGGCTGCCAAATGGACCCTGCCCTACATACCCCTCACCCCAGAGAGCCCCCCTGCCACATAGACCCTGCCCTAGAGACATCTCATATAGATACCGTCCCACCCCACGGACCCTGGCCCACACACCCCTCACTCCAGAGACCCCCACACACAGACCCTGGCCCACCCCACAAACCCTGCCCCACACTCCCCTCTCCTCAGAGACCCTCACACACGGACCCTGCCCCACCCCATGGACCCTGCCCGACATGTCCCTCACCCCAGAGACCCCCCACACACATAGACCCTGCCCCAGAGACATCTCCCATAGACACTGGTCCACCCCACGGACCCTGGCCCACACACTCCTCTCTCCAGAGACCCTCACATGGACCCTGCCCCACACACCCCTCTCTCCAGAGGCCCCCACAAACAGACCCTGGCCCACCCCTTGGACCCTGCCCCACACACCCCTCACCCCAGACACCCACACACATGGACCCTGCCTCACTCACCCCAGACATGCCCCTAAGGGGCCCCCTCTGTTCACCTCCCCCCTGTGCCCTGACTCACGTTCACAGATAGGTTTGGGGAAGCTCCAGCGCCCCACCTTGGTGCAGTTGCTGCGGGCACTACCCACCAGGCGGAAGCCGGGGTTGCAATGATACTCCACCCAGGTGCCCTCCACGGGCACCCGCTCCATGCCACGTGGCACCGCCTGCCCGTTCTCCAGGATCAGGTGTATCTTGGGACAGGTCCGCACTGTCGGGGTGGGGGATGGTCAGAGCCAGAGCCCCACCCCTAAGACACCCCACCCTCGGCCTGGGTTGGAGCCAGTGCCTCCGAGAAGGGAAAGGCCCTGGGCCCCATTCCCCACCCCCTGAGCTGTCCCGCCCTGGGGCCAGATTGGAGCTGGTGACTCCTAGAGGGGAAAGGCCCCGTGCACCATTCCCTGCTCCCCAGAGCCAGCCAGCCCCTGCCTTGGGGCCAGATGGGAGCCGGCACCCCCTAGAGGGGAAAGGCCTTGTGCCCCATTCCCTGCCCCCTGAGCCAGCCAGTCCCCCAGCCTGGGGCCAGATGGGAGCCAGTGCCTCCTAGAGGGGAAAGGCCCCATGCTCCATTCCCTGCCACACCCCCTGCCCCCGCAAGCCAGCCAGTCAGTCCCTGCCATGGGCCTGGATTGGACACAGCACTCCCTGGAGGGGAAAGGCCCTGTGCCCCATTCCCTATCCCCTCTGAGCCAGCCAATCCACCCACCCTGGGGTCAGATTGGAGCTGGTGCCCCTTAGGGTGGAAAGGCCCTGTGTCCCATCCCCAGGGTGGGCATGGGGGCCGGTGGTGACTCACGGCAGCGGCTGGCATGGCCCATCTCAGTCCAGGTCCCGTTGGGCAGACACTTGCGCACTTTGGGCCCCACGATCTCACGGTCAGGCCGGCACACATACTCAATCTCATAGTCGAAGGGCAGGAAGCGCACTGTCTGCACCTGGTCTGGGGTGAGGCCCCGGTACCGGATCCCCCCGTCCCGCGGTGGGTGGATGATCTCACAGCCTGGGGGGCGCAGAGCGGGGCACCGTCAGGTTGGGGGGCCTCCGGCTGAGCTGGGGGGACAGGAGCGGGGTGGGTGGGGGAAGAGCAAGTGTGTGTGCAGGGGGAGGCATCCTCGCACATGTATACTTTTGTTGGGTTCCCCATGCTTGTGTCCGTGTGCGTCGCCAAGTGTGTGTGAGCGCATGCACGTGTGTGCACAGAGGAGAGGAGTGCAGAGCTGAGTGTGTCTGCGTGCACACGGGGGTACACGTTGGGGTATACATGGGAGTCTGGGGGGGGCTCCTTGGGGACTGAGCACTGCTGGCACGAGGAGGCCCTGGCATAGATTATGGGGTTTTCGGGGGGTGGGGTGAGCAGAGAAGCCTGGTGGGTCTGACCTAGCATGCGAGGCTGGAGGCGGAGCTTACCTGTCGTGCTGTTGAGTCCCAGTGCCCCAGAGCCAGGATCTGGAATTAGCACAGCGCTCAGCAGCAGGAGCAGCATCTGCAGGGGTGGAGGAAAAAGGCAATGAGAATGGGGATGGGGATACAACCTTCCCCCACATGATTACACAGAGGGCCAATTGCCACAGGGTTATGACAAGGCAAGAACCCAGGAGTCCTTGCTCCCAAAGACCTTAGTCCTGCTCTAACCCCCTAGACCTCATTGCCCTCCCAGAACCAGTAGGGAACACAGGAGTCCTGGCTCCCAGCCCCCCTGCTCTAACCCACTAGATCACACTCCTCCCCACAGAGCCAGGGGTAAGAACATGAGAACGGCCAGACTGGACCAAAATAAGGGTCCATCTAGCCCAGTATCCTGTCTTCCAACGGCCAGTGCCAGGGGCCCCAGAGAGAATGAACAGAACAGGCAATCATCGAGTGATCCATCCCCTGTCATCCATTCCCAGCTTCCGGCCAACAGAGGCTAGGGACACCATCCCTGCCCATCCTGGCTAATAGCCATTGATGGACCTGTCCTCCATGAATGTATCTAGTTCTTTTCTGAACCTTGTTATAGTTTTGGCCTTCACAACAGCCTCTGGCAAAGAGTTCCACAGGTTGACTGTGCATTGTGTGAAGAAACACTTCCTTTTGTTTGTTTTAAACCTCCTGCCTATTCATTCCACCAAGTGACACTAGCTTTTGTGTTATGTGACGGGGTAAATAACACTTCCTTATTTACTTTCTCCACACCCATCATGATTTTACAGATCCCTGTCATATACACTGTATCCACTGGGTCACCCTTGTCCACATGCTTCCTGACCCCCTTAAAAAATTTTAGTAGATTGGTGAGGCATGATTTCCCTTGACAAAAGCCGTGTTGACTCTTCCCCAACGAGTCATGTTCATCTGTGTGTCTGGCAGTTCTGTTCTTTATTATAGTTTCAACCAATTTGCCTGGTACTGAGGTTAGGCTCACTGGCCTGTAATTGCCAGATCACCTCTGGAGCCTTTCTGAAAGACCACAGCTAGATAGGACCAGGAGTCCTGGCTCCCAGCCCACCTTCTCTAACCACTAGACCCCACTCCCAGGTCTTTAAAAAGGTCTGAATGACGCAGTAAGCACCACAGAGGGAAAGGCTAAAGATTCTGGGCATAATGGCAGAGTTAGAGAATAAGCTCCGGAAGATCCTGTGAATACCTACAATATTCCTGGTCCCCAGGGCCCCCATGTGGCCATTGCATAGGAATAGCTGCCCCCACTGCTGATCCCCACCCCCTATATGCCCACTACAAGGGAAGAGCTGTCCCTGTCCCTGAGCCTACCATATCCAATCAGTGCCCCTCCTGTCAGTTTGTGAATTGGATCTAGTGGGTGAGACCCAGGACGTCTTAGAGCCAGGACTCCTGGGTTCTAGCTCTGGCTCTTTGGAGGGGAGTGTGGTCTAGTGGTTGGGGGGAGGGGTACTTGCCAGAGTATCCCAAATGTCTGTGGCAGTGATAATGTGTGATATGCCCTGTCCCAGCAAGAACAGAGACAGCAGTGCCCACAAAGGCTGCTGAGGGTGACATACACAAACACACAAAGCGCATGGCTTGTTCCCTCCCACTGGGGCAGCCGGGAGGGACACGCGCACACACACACACACACACACACAGCAGGACTCATTCTACAGGAGGGACAGACACATGCTGAGTAAATCTCATTGCCTCTGTGATGAAGTGGAACTGTTCTTAATGTTTCCTCTGAATACTATAAGGATGCCTCAGTTTTTCCTATGCATTTCTTAAGTCTCTAGGTGGTGGGATAAGGATGTAAAAAGAAAAGGAGTACTTGTGGCACCTTAGAGACTAACTTATTTATTTGAGCATAAGCTTTCGTGAGCTACAGCTCACTTCATCGATGAAGTGAGCTGTAGCTCACGAAAGCTTATGCTCAAATAAATTGGTTAGTCTCTAAGGTGCCACAAGTACTCCTTTTCTTTTTGCAAATACAGACTAACACGGCTGATACTCGGATAAGGGTGTGTAATTGTTGCAGAGCAAAGGGCCAGTGTACATAAATGGCCAGCACTCTGTTCCCTGGCAACTGATGGTCTGGGCCCTTACCCCCTGCAAGGTGAGAGCTAAAGGTGTTGGAGAACAAAGGAATCAGGAGACCTCCTGGCCCAGGAAAGGGACAAAGCCCAGAGGAGGAGGGGCTGGAGGGTGAGTCAGTTTGGGGCTAGCTGGGGATGTGGAGTGAATTGCAGACGTGGTTGTCTGGCTCACTGTCCCCCAAAATGGACCCAGCTGAGGGGTCCTGTTCTCTGTACCTACAAGCTCTGTTTTAGACCGTGTTCTTGTCATCTAATAAACCTGTGTTTTACTGGCTGGCTAAGAGTCACATCTGACTGCGGAGTTGGGGTGCAGGACCCTCTGGCTTCCCCAGGACCCCGCCTGGGCAGACTCACTGTGGGAAGCACACAGAGGAGCAGAGAATGCTGAATGCTCCAAGGTCAGACCCAGGAAGGTGGAAGCTGTGTGAGCTTCTTGCCCTGAAGACAGTCTGCTCACAGAGAGGAGACTTCACCAGAGTCCTGACTGGCTTTGTAGGGAGTAGTTCCAGAGCATCGCCCGGGGACTCCGTGACAACTGGTGGTAGCGGTGGGATGCACTGCACCCCGTGGACGGTGCTTCCTCCAGTAAGTGACTGGGGAGCAGTAAAAAGCGGGATTGATGAGGACCAGGCATGCTGAAGGCTCAGAGAGGAGCGGTTTTGGGGAGCTGTTAACCCCTGGGAGTGTGTGACCAGTGAGAAGGACTTTTGCAGTAACAGGGTCCCCTGGGGATTGCAGCAAGTGGTCCCAGGGGCGGAGGAGTCTGCAGCTCGACCCTGGCAAAGAGGTGGTGACCTCGAGAAGGGCTGACACACGAGGGGTTCTCCCTTGAAACCATGGGGAGCTGAGAGCACACAGGCCTATGAGTCCACAACAACTTGGGAACAGTGGAGTGATAGCCTATCACCATCTTCTTAAGAAGGACATTGTAACCCCGTGCAAAAAGAGAGGGTTACACATTGGAAAGTTCACCAAAGCACAGTTAATCGTGCAGCTGGAGGATGATGACCACTCTAAGGAGCAGATTCCTGACCCAAATGGGGCTACAGCAGGATCTGGGAGCAGCTGGAGTGGTAGCCAGACATCCCCAAGACTCCTGTCCCGACCAGATGGGGGTCTTCATGATTGGGTTCCCCAGCAGGGGATCAGAGACGGATGGGATTGGAGCTGAGTCCGAGAGAGCAAGAGACAGCGAGAGCCCAAGAAAGAGCTGCAGAAGCAGCAGCAGCATGAACTGGCGATGGTGGAGCGGAGAGGCACATGAGACTTTCTAGGGGTGAGTGGGGATAGACCCTGGAGTGCCAGTTCTGCAGGGAACCTCGAGACTAAATTGCTGCCCCTGGTTAAGGAGGTGGAGGGATGTGGATGCCCACCTCACTGCCTTTGAGCAGGCTGGCGATTTGAACCAGGGAGACACTGCAGAAAAGCCCTGGTATCTAGCTCCCTTGCTGAGAGAACTGTTGTCAGGCCCCGGGTGGTGCAGCCTCAGACGCTGAGGGGCTGTGTGTCCTAGGGATGGAACCATTCACCCTGCCTATGGCCCAGATCCCTGTGCAGACCCAGGAGGGGTCGGGCTGGCTGGTCGTTGGGGTTCTCCAGGATATCAGCTGTGACCTCCTGTTGGGGGGTGACGGTGTCTCTTTGGGACAGGATCCAGGCCCTGCTCCTGTAATGGCCGAGGGTTTGAATTTGAATCCAGGGAACCAATTGGCTGAGACAGAAATGGTCAGTGAAAATGCAGATGACCTGGCTGGCACGGGGTGGGGAGGAGCTGCTAGGCTCAGACTACCTGCCTGCCTGTAAGCAGACCCCTGGGACTGGGTGGGGCAAAGAGATGTTCCCTGCCCCACTGCACACTGGAGAAGGGGCTCACACTGGCTCTGTTGCTGTAAGGAGAGCAGAGAGCTCGCTGCCTGCCCCCACTGGGACAGCAAGGAGAGCGCTGAGCAAGGGGGGAGATAAGACCCCAGCTGAGTGGGTGGGGACACAGGCAGGGCAGGACGGCTGCCAACCAGGTTTTCCTGGTCCAGACAAGCTGCTGGGAAGTGATCCCATGGCAGGGAAGGGGGCTCTGGATATAGTGGGGCCCCTTAGCAAGGCGAGTGATGGATTTCACCAACTGCTACCCAGGGGTGGGGGATCTGCCCTCCACTGAGGCAGACACGCTGCTGACCATCTTCAGCAAAGAAGGGGTCCCCAGCGAGGTCCTTACAGACCAGGGGTCAAATTTCATGTCAGCTCAGCTCCAAGGCTTGCAGGAGAAATGTGGGGTCTGGCCCTGGACCTCTACATATCACCCTCAGTCCAACGGGCTGATGAAGAGGATCAGAGATTGGCCCATTCTCCAGACCAAGAAACAGGTCCAGGCCTTTATAGGGATGGCGGGGTACTACTGGGTGTTTGTACCCCACTTTAGCTCCCTAGCTACTCCCATCACTGAGCTATGTAAGAAGGAGAAGCCAGACGAGGTGGTCTGGACTGAGCAGCGCCAGAGGGCTCTCTGTGCATGGAAGGAGGCTCTAATCCAGGGCCCGGTAAATCTGGTAAACCCGGACAGTGCCATGCCCTTTATAGTGTTAACCGACGCCTCAGACGCAGGGCTGGGCACAATGCTAATGCAGGTCGATGTTAAGGTGGGGAGACACCCCATTGAGTGCCCAAGCAAGAAGCTGCTGCCCCAGGAGCAGAACTATATGGCCATAAAGAAGAAATGCCTGGCCATGATGCGGGCCCTTAAAAAGCTGCAGCCGTATCTATCTGGGTGGTGTTTTGCAGTGTATACTGACCCCTCTGCCCTGAAAATGGCTGCATCCAATGAAAGGGGCTGATGCCAAGCAGTGGATGACAGAGACACCTGGTCAAAGGGTGGCCAAGGTCAAGATGGGGGCTGTTAACCAAGAGAGCTCAAATCACAGCCCTCCAAACTGGACAGCTGGGAGAAGACCCAATCTCCGTTTGAACCCCAGGGGTTTTGGGATGGCAAAAGGGCATGGGCCGCATAAACCTTCCCACACACCACGCCAGCAAGTGCCATCAAGCACACCCGACCCAAGGAAGCGTGTAAAACTGGAAGGGCCTGGTGTAACTCCCCCCAAGGAATGGGAGAGATGCTGGAGCATCCATGGGAACGTTGGTGGGTTCGAACTTTCCCCAGGTCACTGGCCAAAGTGACCTCACTCAGTTCGGTCACGAAGGGGGGACAGATGTGACGAAGTGGGACTGTTCTCAGTGTTTCCTCTGAATACTGTAGGGGTGCCCCAGTTTCCCCTATGCATTTCTTAAGTCTCTAGGTGGTGGGATAAGGGTGTGTAATTGTTGCAGAGCAAAGGGCCAGTGTACATAAATGGCCGACACTCTGTTCTCTGGCAACGGATGGCCTGGGCCCTTACCCCCTGCAAGGTGAGAGCTAAAGGTGTTGGAGAACAAAGGAATCAGGAGACCTCCTGGCCCAGGAAAGGGACAAAGCCCAGAGGAAGAGAGGCTGGAGGGTGAGTCAGTTTGGGGCTGGCTGGGGATGTGGAGTGAATTGCAGACGTGGTTGTCTGGCTCACTGTCCCCCAAAATGGACCCAGCTGAGGGGTCCTGTTCTCTGTACCTACAAGCTCTGTTTTAGACTGTGTTCCTGTCATCTAATAAACCTCTGTTTTACTGGCTGGCTGAGAGTCACGTCTGACTGCGGAGTTGGGGTGCAGGACCCTCTGGCTTCCCCAGGACTCCACCTGGGCAGACTCACTGTGGGCAGCGCTCGGAGGGGCAGAGGATGCTGAATGCTCCAAGGTCAGACCCAGGAAGGTGGAAGTTGTGTGAGCTTCTTGCCCTGAAGACAGTCTGCTCACAGAGAGGAGACTTCCCAGAGTCCTGACTGGCTTTGTAGGGAGTAGTTCCAGAGCATCGCCCGGGGACCCCGTGACAGCCTCCAGCAGGGGACAGCAGACACACACAATGCAGGGCTCATCCCCTCCAGTGGGGGGGCACACATGCCCCCGCCTTTGCCAATGCACAGCAGCAGCACTCATCTTCTCCAGAAGGGACACACACACACAGAGTACAGGACTCATCTCATCCAGCGGGGGCAGCAGGAATTCACATAGACAACCCATGCCAGCGGAGGGTAAGCAGCAGCGTCACTTTCTGCACACACACACACACACCCCCTCAGAAGTATCAGAGGGTAGCTGTGTTACTCTGTATCCATAAAAACAATGAGGAGTCCGGTGGCACCTTAAAGACTAAGAGATTTATTTGGGCATATGCTTTCATGAGTAAAAACCCCACTTCTTCAGATGCATGGAGTGAAAATTACAGATACAGGCGTAAATATACCTGTACATGAAGAGAAGGGAGTTACCTTACAAGTGGAGAACTAGTGCTGACAAAGCCAATTCAGTCAATTCTACAACCTATCCTGGAAAACAATACCTCACTCTCACAGACCTTGGGAGACAGGCCAGTCCTCGCTTACAGACAGCCCCCCAGCCTGAAGCAAATACTCACCAGCAACCACACACCACACAACAGAAACACTAACCCAGGAACCAATCCCTGTAACAAACCCCATTGCCAACTCTGTCCCCATATCTACTCTAGCAACACCATCAGAGGACCCAACCACATGAGCTACACCATCAGGGGCTCATTCACCTGCACATCTACTAATGTGATATATGCCATCATGTGCCAGCAATGCCCCTCTGCCATGGACATTGGCCAAACCAGACAGTCTCTATGTAAAAGAATAAATGGACACAAATCTGACATCAGGAATGGTAACGTATAAAAGCCAGTAGGAGAACACTTCAATCTCCCTGGACATTCAATAACAGATTCAAAAGTAGCCATCCTTCAACAAAAAAAACTTTGAAAACAGACTTCAAAGAGAAACTGCAGGGCTACAATTCATTTGCAAACTTAACATCATTAATTTGGGCTTGAATAGGGACTGGGAGTGGCTGCCTCACTACAAAAGCAATTTTTCCTCTCTTGGTATTGACACCTCCTCCTCAGTTATTGGGAGTGGATCACATCCACCCTGAGTGAATTGGCTTTGTCAGCACTGGTTCTCCACTTGTAAGGTAACTCCCTTCTCTTCATGTGTCAGTATATTTATGCCTGTATCTGTAATTTTCACTCCATGCATCTGAAGAAGTGGTGTTTTTTACCCATGAAAGCTCATGCCCAAATAAATCTCTTAGTCTTTAAGGTGCCACCGGACACTCAGAAGGACTCCTCTCTTCCAGCAGGGACACACACACACACAGAGTACATTCATCTCGTCCAGCAGGGGGAGCAATTTACACAGACAACCCATGCCAGCAGAGGACAGGCAGCAGCGTTACTTTCTGCGCACACACACACACACACAGAGCAGCAGTACTCCTCTCATCCAGCAGGGGGAAGCAGGGACGGACAGACAGACAGACACGCACACCCCAGGACTCATTCCCTCCAGCAGGGAGCAGCAGGGACAGCCCCGAGCCAGCCCTCCCTGGGGCGGACTGGCGCAGTCCCTCCATACCTTGCGGCAGGCGTGTGGTGGGCAGTGCCAGCCTGTTCTCTTTCGCAGCCTAGGGCTGGATCCGTACACAGGGCAATCGCTCAACACCGCAGCACCCACCAACCAGACCTGAAAGCTGGAAACACAAAAACCCCTCTTAGAAATGACCTGGCCTCCCCCCCACCTGCTCCACCAGCCCCCCAGAAATGGCTTCCCCAACCCCTGCATATTTCACCACATGGCCTCCTTTGGGGTTGGGTGCAAAGTGAGCAATATCCCTGAGGGGGCGGGATCGGCCCAGGGTATTTGGACCCCCCACTACCTGCACTGCCTTCACACATGGCCCAGCCACTAGCCTGAGCTCACACTGTGTGAGCCTAGGGCACAGCCGCACTGGCTCCTAGATGGTGGGGTGGTGGTGGTGAACACTCTGAGGGTCGCTGCCCAGAGCTGGCTGCAACAGCCCAACACATGGCCACATCACAACCAGAGGGGGCCCAATGACTGTAAGATGGGGGGATCCCAAGCTTTTCCTGCTGGGCGCAATGAGCCTGTGGAACCCACTGCCACAGGACACAGCCGAGGCCAAGAGCTGGGCAGGAGTCCATGGGTGACGGGCAGGTTCCTCAGAGGGCAACATGTGGCATAACCTGCGGAAATGAGCACAACATTTGGAGAAGGGTGGTGAGACTCCTGCTTCAGGAGCCCAGCGTGGGGGCAGGTTACGCCCAGTGGCTGCTGTGGGTTCTCAAACCAAAGGCGGGAACATTCAGCCAGCTCTAATCAGAGGCCCTCTGGAGACTGCAGAGACAGCCTGCAAGGGGCACTCCCCCCATTTCACAGCGGGGGAAACTGAGGCACAGCGACTCAGAAAATCCATAGCAGAACCCAGGCCACCTGCTGCCCCAGTCCTCGCTCTAACCACTAAATCTCCTCTGCTCTTCCCGAGCCAGGGACAGAACCCAGGAGTCCTGCCCCCCATCCACCCTGTGTTACAGCGCACACCCAGAGAGGTTGCTGGTTTGTTGTTCCCCATTACCATGGCAATGGGGGCTTCCCCTGTGCAGCCCAGCCCAGCATGCGCCCCAGGCCTGTGGATGAACCACGGGCAGGCCGAGGGCTGTTTAGCCCAGGCAGCAGAGGCATGTGCCCTTTGCCTTATGGGAATCCTGGGAGCTGGGTGGGCCCAAGCCGCCCACTTCTGAAAGGCGCCTCCCCCAGCCTCGCAGGAGGGACCACTGGACCCGGGAATCAGATGAAGACAGGACACAACTAATTAAAAAACAGGGTCGGGAGTGGTGGTCAGAGGTTCAAAACAAGGGTACTGGACGGGGACACCGAGCAGAGGACCCCGGACAGCGCCCACTGCTCCTCAAAGGCGTCTCAGGAGCCAGTGGACGCGGCCCAGTGGAACTCTGCCTGGAGGCGAGACGAGGGAGGAATGGAAATAGGCCCCACAGTCGCAGCATGCCCACTCATCCAGCATCCTCCTCCTGGTGTTATAGGTGGAGACTTTGGCCAGAGCCAGGAGGAAGTTGACGAGTAGGTCTCGCCACTTCATGGGGCCACGGATAGGCTGTACGAAAATGAACAGGTGTGGGCGAAAGGTGTGCCCTATGCTGCTGAGGGCACAGGCCCCAGCCAAGCAGGCAACCTGCTGGGCTGCGGACATGGGGCCCCCTGGCACTTCAGAGCAGCCAGCTCTGGAGAGCTGGGGAGAGCCAGGCAGGGGAGCTGGGGGGGGAACCAGGCAGGGGACCTGTGGGGAGCCAGGCAGGGGAGCAGGGGGGGAGTCCGGCAGGGGAGCCAAAGGGGAGTCGGGCACAGGAGCCAGGGGGAGCCAGGCAGGGGAACCGGGGGTGGGGAGCCATTCAGGGGAGCCGGGGGGAGTGAGGCAGGGGAGCTAGGGGGGAGCCAGGCAGGGGAGCTGGGGATTAGGGTGGGAAGCAGCAGGCGACCGAAACCCTGCTGGGTTCATCAGGGTGGCACACGACTCGGCCAGCCGTCCTGGGCCAGCACGACAGCTGCAGTGCTACAGTCACACCAGTAGAGGGAGCCACCAGGGCATCTGGGGCAGCCAGGTGGCCCTGGGCTGAATGCAGGGCTGGGAATCGAAGGCTGGGCTCCCGCCAGCATCGCAGCTGGGTAGCAGGCTGAGGCCAGTGCAGGCTGAACCCTGGTTCCAGGGGGAATATAACCCCCCAGGATCTCAGCAGCGGCCCCACCTAGCACAGGGATGAGCTGGGCTGGTGCAGCAAGGGGCGACGTGCCGAACTGTGGCGACTGCTGGGATGGTGCTGGCTGCCTGCCAAGCTGGACGCAGCTGGCCAGGGAGGAGCAGTCCACGCTGTGCTCTTGCTCCGGCTGGCTCTGTGCTGTGGTGGATCCAGGGCGGGGTGCTGAGGGGCTGGGCAGTGAAGCAGTTAATGCCACGGGGCCGGGCCCAGGGCGAGAGAAGAAAGGCCAGACACTACACAGGAAATCCCAGAGCCCGGATGGGTGTGGCCTGCAGCGGGTCAGCCCCAGCATTTATTATTGATACCACACCATGGCTGGGTGGGGCCCCGCCTGGAATGCAGGGTACCTTGGCCAGGCTTTCAGCTCAGCTGGCCCATCTAGGAGTCAATCCGGAGTCACCCCTGACTGAAATGGGGGTAGGGCTGGGCTCTGAGCTCAGCAAGGGTGACCAGATAGCAAGTGTGAAAAATCAGGACAGGGTGTGGGGGGTAATAGACACCTATATAAGACAAAGACCCAAATATGGAGACAGTCCCTATAAAATCAGGACATCTGATCACCCTAAGTTCAGCTCCCAGGAGTTAATCCAGAGTCACACAAACACACACTGTACATACTACACACACTCCCACAGCTGAGGGGGGCAGGGGGGAGCTGAGGGCACTGGGCAGGAAGGGGTGAGGGGAATGGGGGGAGCTGAGGGGAGTGGGGGGTTGGGGGAAGCTGAGGGGAGCGGGCGGGGGGGAGATGAGCGCAGTGGGTGGAGGGGAGGGGCGAGGGGAGCGGGGGGGCTGGGAGGAGCTGAGGGCAGGGGTGGGCAAGGGGAGTGGGTGAGTGGAGTCCCTGATAAACTGGAATGGAAGCAATTGTGGCTCATGAATTTTTTATTGCACTGAATAAATCCTGAGAACGAGGGTTTTGGGCTGGTAGCAAATGATAGGGCTGCAGGTCAGGAGTGAGGGGCACCAGCAGAGCTGGGGGGCAGGGCTGGGCTAGCAGGGGGCTGTGGGTCAGGAGTGAGGCGCACTGGCAGAGCTGGGGGGATCCCAAGGCTGGGCTAGCAGGGGCTGTGGGTTGGGCACTGGCAGAGCTGGGGGGCGATGCCCCTCCTCCCACACTGTTTGTTTCCTCCCAGCCCCAGTGGGGTAATTATCCGAGGTACTAATCAAAGTTGACAACAATCCCTAAGCTGGTTGCCTAGTTACCAGCTCAGCCAGCCCCAGGCCTGAGCACAGGACACAGGCTCCTCCCACAGCCTCTGGCCCCTCCCACCACACCTGCCGGGGGTTCCCCCCCCTCAACAAACCCTGTGCACTGGAGTCCCAGCTAGGCACAGGCAAGGCGCTGCTGTGTGGAAACTCACAGCACTGGACCCCATCCGGGCACTGCGGTGAGGAAGCTTGCAGCATGATGCCCCCTCAGGGCACTGCTGCGGCAAGGAAGCTCGCAGCGTGGCACCCCCACAGGGCATTGCTCTCTCCATGCCCACACCTGCCCTTCAGGACCTGTGAGAGCAGACAGATCCACTACAGGATATTTATAGAGATGTGGGACTCAGCACTTTGGAAAGGAATAAATAATTCGCCAGGACTCAGTGTCTTCATCACCTGAGTGCTGCGCTCTCCCACCCAAAAAATAGATCTACACCCCCACCCCCACTTTGCCTCTCAGTCCTGACCTTCAGCCCCCAGTTAGCCCAGCCCTGGACTGTTCGCACATTGTCCTCCTGGTACCCCCAGCATCCGTGGGTGGCCTGGGGAGCACAGGACAGGGGGGATACTAGGTGGGATCCCAGCAGTGGGGAAGCTAGGTGGCGTGGGGAGTGCAAGTTGGCAGGTGAGGGCAGGGCAGGGGAAGGAGAGAAGGGATCCCGGCAGTGGGGGAGGTGGGGGGCGCGGGGAGTGATTGTCAGGGGCGAGGAGATCAGGGAGGGACCCCAGCAGAGGGAGAGGTGGGCATCGTAGGAAGTGAAGGCTGGGTGGGAGGGAGGGCGGGAGAGGGAGGGATCCCAGCAGTGGGAGAAGCAGGCAGCATGCAGAGCCCAGGCCTGGGGGGTTGAGGGACAGATCCTGGCACAGGGGGAGGCAGGTGGAGTGGGGAGCGCAGACCAGGGGGAGATCGGGGGAGGGATCCTAGCAGTGGAGTAGGCAGTCGGTGTGGGGAGCGCAGGCCGGGGAGGATTGGGGGAGGAATCCCAGCAGAGGGGGAGGTGGGTGGCATGGGGGGCACAGGCCGGGTAGGGGGATCGGGGGAGGGATTCTGGCAGTGGGGGGAGGCAGGCGGTGTGGGGAGCACATGCTGGGGGGATCAGAGAAGGGATCCCGGTAGTGGGGGAGGCGGGCAGCATGGGGAGTGCAAGCCGGGGGGGATGGCAGAGGGATCCCAGCAGTGGGGGAGGCAGGTGGCGTGGGGAGCGCAGGCCTGGGAGGATTAGGGGAGGGATCCCAGCAGAGGGGGAGGTGGGTGGCGTGGGGAGCACAGGCCGGGTGGGGGAATCAGGGGAGGGATTCTGGCAGTGGGGGAGGCGGGCAGTGTGGGGAGCACAAGCCGGGTGGGAGGATCGGGGGAGGGATTCCGGCAGTGAGGGAGGCGGACGGCATGGGGGAAGCACAGGCTGTGGGGGCGGTCAGGGGAGGGATCCTGGCAGTGGGGGAGACATGCGACGTGGGGAGCACAGGCCGAGGGGAGAAATTGGGGGAGGGATCCTGGCAATGGAGGAGGAGGGTGGTGTGGGGAGCACAGGCCAGGGGGGACGGAGGAGGGATCCCGGCAGTGGGGGAGGTGGGCGATCTGCTGGG